ATATCTCAAAATTTAAGAAAATTAGAGCAACCACAGACATTTCTCAAAAATTAAAATTAAAAAAACCGTTTACCGATCATCGCAAAAAACAATACCAAACTTCCTTTAGTGATTCTCGAAGTTTTAAAAAAAAAATTAGCCCGATATCTCAAAATTTAGGAAAATTAGAGCAACCACAGACATTTGTCAAAAAATTCAAAATTTTTCCAAAAAAAAAACCGTTTACCGATCATCGCAAAATCAATACGAACCTTCCTTTAGTGATTCTATACGTTTAAAAAAAAATCAGCCCGATATCTAAAAATTTACAGAAGTTACAGCAACCACAGGCATTCGAATGCGTACATACACACACACACACACACACACACACATACAGATATTTTGTAAAAATAATATTTTTAGACGTTTTAAAACATTTTAAACATATTCCCAAAGAAAACTGGAAAAAAAATTTTTTCACGAAAACAAAGCTTCCTCTATGAGGAAGCAAAAACATGATTTATGTATGTTTAAACAATTTTTTATAATAATAAAAAAATGATTTATGATTGTTAAACAATTTTTTATAATAATAAAAAAATGATTTATGATTGTTAAACAATTTTTCACAATTAAAAGAATTATTTATTATTGTTAAACAATTTTTTCACTATAAAAAATGATTTATGATTATTTAAACAATTTTTTTACATAAAAATGATTTATGATTATTTAAACAATTTTTTGCTTCCTCAAAGAGGAAGCTGTTTTCGTGAAAAAAATTTTTTTTCAGTTTTCTTTGGGAATATGTTTAAAATGTTTTAAAACGTCTAAAAATATTATTTTTACAAAATGTCTGTATGTCTGTGTGTGTGTGTGTGTGTGCGTGTGCGTGTGCGTGCGCGTGCGCGTGCGCGTGCGCGTGCGCGCGTGTGTGTGTGTGTATATATGTGTGTATGTACGCATTCGAATGTCTGTGGTTGCTGTAACTTCCGAAAATTTTGAGATATCGGGCTAATTTTTTTTTAAAACGTATAGAATCACTAAAGGAAGGTTCGTATTGATTTTTGCGATGATCGGTAAACGGGTTTTTTTTAAAAGATCTTGAATTTTTTTAGAAATGTCTGTGGTTGCTATAACTTTTGCAAATTTTGAAATATCGGGCTATTTCTAATTCTATTATTCTTTCCAGTCTTTTCTACCCCTATTTCATATATAATTGATTAATATTCGGTTGATTAGTTCTTGAGTTATAGATGTTTGAAATTTCGCGGAATCCGTACATGAACACTTTTTCATTATACTGGTTGTTTCAAAAGTGATGCTACAAAATGTAATGGTGAAATGTATACATTAGTATAAGCAAAAAGTCCTAATAAACATAGGTAGAGGTCCCTCTTTTTCATTATACAGGGTGTTTCAGAAGTGATGGTACACAATGTAATAAAGAAATGTACACACTTGTAGAAGCAAAAAGTTTCAATACACATAGGTAGAGGCATACCTCTTGAATATGGCGATGACCGGTAAAAGGTTTTCTAATTTTTAATTTTTTTTTTAGAAATGTCTGTGGTTGGTGTAACTATCGCAAATTTTCTTTACTAATGATTTCCAAAATTTTCAAATGTCTATTACTCAAGAACTGTATGTCAAGAACTAATTAATCATATTTTAATGAATTATATATGAAATTTGGATTGAAAAACTGAAGAACAATATAATATGTAATTAGAAAAAAGTAAAGTAAAGTAAAGTGTGCAAATTAAAAATTTGCACATGGCTTCCTCATAGAGGAAGGTTTAGGAGCGTGTAACGATACGCTCAACTCTTCCCGGTTCTCGATTCCGGACAGGACTCCGGCAGGTACTATTTATTACGCGAATAAATACGGTATTTAATCAGACGCGCAGTTCTGATTAACGGTTGGAAGAGTTAGCGTTCTAGTTCGGGTGTTGACGTGCTGGGTGTCGGTGAAATAAATCCTCCGTTCCTCCTATTTGCCGAATATGCTCAGCTCCAGGGCCGTCGGGAGGAAAGGAGGAAAAGATCTTAATTTCTTAGTAGAGTTAATCGCTTGGAAGGGATCGGAAATAAGTCGGACAGGTGTTATGCGGTAAAAACAATAGGAACGTGGTTTATTCATGGATAAGATACATGGAATCGAGGTATTTACAATGGGTCCGCCCTGTGATTAAATACAAAGGAAAAATGGAATATGATTAGTCGGATTACAATGGGTACGCCCTGTATTAAAATACAAAAGAAAAGACAGGATTAATTGATACAACGGTGCGTGAGCGGATCAGAATACGGGATACGATAAAAATATGGCCAGTCGGATTATGATAATGTACCGAAGTACGCGGCCGGATTCGGAGTTACAGGAAATGTTACAAAATACACAAAACCGAAAAGATTAATTTACGAGTATAGTGTGTAGATTCTTACTGTCGTATTTAGCGAGAAAACAACAATGTCGCGGTAATTTTATCATATATAATAGAACGGAAATAAGTACAACTAAGAATAAAATATCGGACTGGTAAAATCAGTAATCTGATACTGGTACGCGCTGGAACGAATCGGAGAGGACGTTTAAATACAGGATCCTCAGGTCTGTAAGGAAGAAAAGTGACGGGATTAAAAACTACGGAGTTTAAAGCTAGAGTTAATTAATAATCTTTCTCCCACCCGAAATATCTCCCCCCAAAGCTTTACACCGGTCAGGAATCAGGAAAGGATCAGGTCAGGTCAGGAACACGCCGAGCAGCGCCTCGTTGTGCGTGAATTTCGGTAACAGATGTACACCGGGCAGCACCCCGTCAAGTGTACGTTACTGCAGAGATACTCCGTCCACTCGAAACACGGAGGTGCCCGCTGTCACGGGGGGAACGGAGCCAGGGAAGGATACAGGAGACCGGTACGGGAATAGTAACATGTACATCGGTGAGCACCCCGTTTCTTGTACGTTACTGTGGGGCTGGGGCACACGACGGAGCAGCGCCTCCACCTGTCGTATGCTCCGGTATGGTATATCGCCGACGGACAGGAGCACCCGTGAAATCGGCGTATACCGCAGTGGAGGTACCCACTGCCGGTTGTCGTCGCTCGGTGCTCCGAGGGATGACTGAGTTAAATCGCCTGCTTCGGAGGGGCTTTTATACCTCCGGAGTGTAGGCGCGCGGGTAGAGGCGGCGGGGGCAGGCGCGGCGTTGCCGGCTACCGTCGACGTGGCAACCGCGCCGCTATCGATTTTTCACTTGCAGCTGGTAGTGCGGTCTCTCTCTACCGGCCGCGCCCCCCCTGTCGCCTCCGTTACAAGCGAAATCTAACTTTTTTCGATGTTTCTTGAAAGTGTGCAAATTAGAAATTTGCATATTGCTTCCTCATCATTGAAGCGTGCAAATTGGAAATTTGCACATTTCTTCCTCACCATTAAAGTAGGCAAATTAGAAATTTGCACATTGCTTCTATTGTTATGGCTTCCTCATAGAGGAAGGTTTAAGAGCGAAATAAGAATAATTTGAATACTTTCAAGAAACATCGTAGTAAAGTTAGATTTCTCTCTTAAAGCTTCCTCTATGAGGAAGCCATAACAATAGAAGCAATGTGCAAATTTCTAATTTGCCTACTTTAATGAAGAGGAAGAAATGTGCAAATTTTCAATTTGCACGCTTCAATGATGAGGAAGCAATATGCAAATTTCTAATTTGCACACTTTCAAGAAACATAGAAAAAAATTAGATTTCGCTCCTCAACCTTCCTCTATGAGGAAGCCATGTGCAAATTTCTAATTTGCACACTTTACTTTACTTTACTTTACTTTTTTTCCTAATTATATATTATTAGGTGTACAAATGAATAATCCAAATTATTTTAAGCAGTTATGAAATCAATTTTAAATTGAATACATTTTCCCGCTCTTTTGTGTTTATACAATGTTGACATATAACTATTAAAAAGAACATATAGTTTGGCGAAAGGCCCATCGTAACCTTCAAAAGTATTCAGTTCAGTACAGTCAAAAATGGTAACAGATAAGGTGCGAATCGATTTGCTCCTTTCTCGGCGAAGGTGTTGTATCGTACGATGTGTGCGCATTTTGGTTTAAGCGGTTTAAAAGCGGTGATTTTAGTCTAATCGGCAAACAACGCCCTGGAGGCCCTCGGAAGCGCGACAACGATGATTTGGAACAACTGCTCGCTGAGAATTCGGCACAAACGCAAAAAGAGCTTGCAGAACAGTTGGGAGTAACGCAGCCATGGACGTAAGAATATATGAACACCCCAAAAAAAATGTTCTATTCATAAGCGGGAAATCCTTTAAGCATTTCCTCTAAGCAAAAAAATCTTACATGAAGCATTTCTCACTTACTTTAACACATATCATCTATAAAAGAGTAGACTCATAAGTTAGAATTAAGATTAATTTTGTCCTGTATCCTGTATAGAAAATTCCATTACAGTAATACGACTAGCCTCTTGAAATAAGAGGATACGCAAGATATTCGCGGACACGCGAGTCGCAGCACGTGCGCCAGCTTCTGAGTAGTTCACCGACCGCCGCTAGGCCGCGCATGGTGGCGGCCAAAAACTCGGAAGCAAAATTCAGTCTCGTAGAGTATAAAAGGAGGCCCGCGAGAGTGAATTCTGATCAATTCTGATCCCGAGTTTTTGACCGTCACTATACGCGGCCTAGCGGCGGTTGGTGAATACTCAGAAGCTGGCGCCCGCGCGCGTGTCGCGTAGTGCCGGATTGCCAATTTGTGCCGGATCGCGCGTTGCAACCGCCACAAAAAGATTCCTCTAGCAATTAAGAGGATACTCGTTTTAAAAGAAATATATAAATACTAAAAATAAGAATATTTGCATATTAGAAGAGGAAAAGATTCCTCTAGCATTAAGAGGATTACCAGTTAAAATTTCATGCCTCAGTGTAATAGGATTTTCCTCTACATTTTAGACTATCATCTTGAGGCCGTATTTAATAGTAAAATCCTCTAACATCAAGAGGGAACCACTCAAAAATAGAATACTTTTCTTTCAGTGAACGGAGTGTAAGTTAGCGGGGGCCGAGCCAGAGCAGTGAGGGGAAAAGTAGTCATCACATATGGCGGCGACGCTACCAGCCTATCACGAGGCGTCCTATACAATCACCTAGTCATCACATATGGCCGCCACCACGGTTTTACGGTGGCCGCCACCTAATTTCCCCTCACCGCGCTCGCTTGGGTCCCCTCGTCCTAAATCCTACATTACGCTCCGTCCATATATTCTTACGTCCATGAATGCAGCAAACGATTTCCAAACGCCTACATGAGATGGGAAAGATCCAGAAAGAAGGAAAATGGGTTCCGCATTGTTAGAACCCCGCGAGAAGTATCGAAAAGATCTCTTGTATTTAGGTCTAACAATAAGTTGTATTAGTCTAAGAGAGCACACGGCGCTCGCGTATGTCACAGGCATAAGCTTTTGAGTTTTTCCCCTCTTGAATACAGCTTGCCTATGTTCTTCTTCTCTCCCCCCCTTTTTGGCCTCGCGACACTCGCCGTGCCAGTGCGCTACTCGATACACGTGTTCTCCTGTATCCGCGGACAAGCGATAGTTGCTTTCCGTACTAATTTGTTATACACGTAATACAAGTACTTGTATACTAAGTCGTGTGTAGTGCTTTCAACAGCCTAAATCCCTGTCACGCATGAACTCACTGAAACCAACAAAAATCACCGAGTGGCAGCGTGTCTTTCTTTTCTCAATAAGCAGCGTCGGAAGTCTTTCTTGTGGAAAATCGTTATGGGCGATGAGAAATGGATACTCTATGACAATCCGAAACGCAGAAAGTCATGGGTAAATCCCGGCGAATCATCAAAATCGGTTGCAAAACCCAATCGCTTCGGAAAGAAGGTTCTTCTCTGCATTTGGTGGGATATCGGGCGTGCTTTTCCACATAGCACGTAATATTACGTAATATATCAGCAATATTATAATATTGAAATAATATTACATATTACAGAGTAATATTACAGTAATATTACTGATATAATACATTTATATAATACATTGTAACATTACATTAATATTACCAGAGAGAAACCTGAGAGCGGCCATGCCGTAGGGTTTACTTGGGATCGATTTTCGCCACCAGTTGTGGATGTAAGAACTACGGAGTCACATCCACTTATCGACACAGTCGATAAATATAACTTTTTGGTGCGTATCCGTGCTACATCTACGTTTCGACATTGTCGATAAATCACATTTTGGTTCGTGTCCGTGCTACATCCACTTAATTTTTTTTTTATAAAAGAAAATTTAGATAATACCGACACTGCCGATAAATCTCTTTTTGGCGTATTTGGCGTGCTATATCCACAATTTATGGATGTTAAGAATTTACAATAAAATCATGTGTGTACACGTTATGGAATTTGCAATAAAATTTGTATACATACATTATGTATCTCTATTCTAATGTACGTTGTACACCAAATATACATATACTGTTAATGAAAAATATATGAATATATTCCATTTATATAACATTCTTAAAACAGTTCTAGAAAATGAAATCCGTTAAATTAAGAAATATATCACGCAATTTGATATTAAAATCTTGATAATAAATAAAAATCAAGGTTTAAAGATTTTAAGATTAAAATAAGTTTTAAGATTTTTTGTTCTCATTATGAGAGAAAAATGATCTTGATTGATTAGATGTTTATAGTCCATTAATTTGTATTTAAATCGTTTTGAATAACATTTTAAAAACTTCAATAAGATCATGTTTAATTTACATGTTAAGTTTATTTATATGTTTAATTTATATGTTTAATTTATATGTTAAGACTTAAGAGAATATTGATTGTGAGATTGATTTATGATTGATGTATCGAATAATTTATATTTCGGATCGGGGGGGGGGGGGCAGGGGAAAGGGAATTTTAAAAAATCGCGTTTCGACAGGTCAGTGTATGGTCGACAACCCGTATCGACGCACTGTCCCGAAAAGTCGAAATAGACGCGTAAACAACATCTTAACTAATATATGTTATTGCGAACAATATATTACCTACAGCCCCAGTGGTCAAGCTGGTTAAGACGCCCGCACGGATTGAGGGAAGTCCCAGGTTCGAATCCTGGTAATATTTTTCGCAATAAGAATTTTAATTGCCAGATACGGTCAATAAAAATCATTGATG